CGCAAGATGCGACAGGTCACTTTACTGGGCGCTCAGGTGAAGGCAAACTATGATGTTGAACGAGGAAAATGTCTTGGGGTGCGGCTGACCCCGCCCCTCGCAGCTGGCTCCGCCCACTTTGACAATGAGAGCGCTAGTGGGCGAAGCATTGGCAAACGACCTAGCGTTTGGTCCCCTTTACACATTTTTCGGTTGAGAGAAGCCTGTTTTTCAGATTCTCGAGTCTGATGCGGTAGCAGTGACGTTTGCCAAGGAAGTGCTGGGGCTTTTTGCACCTGTAGTTCCGCTATTTGTTGCTTGCTCATGTCTAGGCAGTGCAAATAGCGTCTTATTTGCTGCATCTAGGATGTTCTTTGCGGGTGCAAGGTAAGCTTTCCATTCTCACATTATTGAAAATCCAAGAATGGGAGCCACACGGAAATTCTGTTTACAGAGAAGGGAAACTACCCGAAATGCTCTCAATGATCTCGATTGATAACCTCACGCCTCTTCCTTCATTGACATTCTTGGGAGGTTGATATAGTTTCATGTAAATTGTCTAGTCAATAATTGATTGGCTTCAGCAATTTCCATAGCTATGGTTTTCGTTGGGGATGTGTACACATTGATCAACTATACAACTTTCACAGAAAGTCTTGTTATCACATCTTCGGTGGTTGGCTTACTCAAAATCAGACTTACAACATCAAATGAGAAAGTTCCAATCAAAGTAAGTTACAATTTGCTTCATTATTATTATAAAAAGATAATCATGCTATTCCCTCAGCAAACCATTCTGATCCCGATAACATTTCTACTGCTATGCTGTCTGATGCTCGCATTGCCATTTTTCTCACAACCGAGTGAGCTCATAGCGAGTGTGATCATCATTCTGTCTGGGATACCAGTCTACTTTTTGTTTGTATGGAACACAAAAAGACCGAAAATGCTCTATGCACCATGGGGTAAGTTAGATGCATCTATCAGATTCTTTTGCCGTAAAATAGTTATTTTCAGTTGCCTTGACACATTTCGTACAAAAACTGTTGTTATGCGTGCCAAGCGAAAAATAGCTTTCAAGCAAACACTGCCAAAGAGCGGAGCTAAAAGCGCTGTATTAAATCACTTATGTGGATTGTGTAATAAGAATGAGCTTCACCAGCACAGCACATAAGTCTTCTTCTTCGCACTTTTCCTATGCAAAATAACGCGGGTATGCTTACAAGCTCAACTTTTAATCCAAATTCTATTTAAGTCACTTGAGATGCTATTTATCGTGGTCACTGTTCACTTCATTGTTTGTTTTGCCTACCTCTTGTTTCAGACACTTATAAATACACTCATGTTTCGTAACTATGAAAATAAATTTTTTAAAGCTTCGCATAGATACGAAGGAGGATCAAAGACGAGAAAGTCAAAGTCATATAAGAATTCTCTTTATCAGCTCACGAACAGTAATCTGCGCATAAATGACAATTTATATAGTAATCAAAGAGTACTTACCGTGTGCCCCAGAAAAGTTCCCATGTGAACCAACGTGCGTAC